GTCCTGAAAGGGGGCTCGGGGGGGTGGGTGGGGGCCTTCTCCGGGGTGTCTCTTGCCTCTGGACTCCGCTGCCTCGACAAAAACGTTCCCCACCGTTTGTAGGGGAGATGCGAGCAAGCCACGGTTAGACGGTTACAAAATGGACCTCTGAGTAGGTGGTGTCCTAACTGCGGGTCCTGGCGTGCCTGGCATCGAGACTTCTTACTAAACAGCTGGGCTGTCGAGGAGTTGACTTTGTTTCTTCTGGGGTAACGTTTAGGCTTCTAATTTACCCCTGTCTCCAGGTTGTAAAACCTGGATGCTCTGTTTGATACCTTCGGTGAGGGTGAAGATAATATTATCTTACGGTCAAGGGGAAAAAAGCATGCCTTTTCAGCTGCAGTATAAATATTAATGTAATTCTGAGTTCTCATACCTTAAAAAAAAAAAAAAAAGGCTGAATAGGGTTTCTTCAAATTTTGAGGTGGTCTACCTCTGGCCTAAAAATGACCTTGAGTATTTCTAGGCAATAGGTGTCTAGTTAAGAAAGCTATAATGTAATGAAAAAATACTTGATATCAAGTTGTAACGTTTAAATTCTTTACTTGTGTTGTTTGTTTCCATAACACAGCAATAGAGTTTAACATAGTTAAAAAAATAATAAAAATCCATGCGTACATTTCACTTGTGTACCTGAAATTGGCTTTCACGTATTTCTTTTTTTCTCATAAGGCGCATGTCACTGTTGTTTGAAATGTGTTAGTGCTTTATTTTATGGAAGTGGATGGAAGAGGGTTGCCTAGTTCTGATTTGACCAGCGACACTTTTCCCACAGAACAAGAAATATTTTTGGAAGCCCAAGCCTTAAAATGACCAGGAAGAGACTTACAAGCAGTGTGTCAGTAAGCTTGCTTGTCGGTTAGTCGTCAGTGGAATTCAATTCTAAAAAAGTCAGTGCTTTTCCAGCTGAATCACATCTAGGCGTAAAATGAGCATTAACAGCTTGAGTTCTTTGTGCAGGAGGGTTCGGTTAGACAGAGGCCTGCTCGTGTGAGTCAGGTTACCTGCCAGGGGCTTCAACAGAAGCACGCTGCAAAGGTTCTATAGCGTGTGCCTGAAAAAGATTATTTTTATGGATTGTGCAGGTGTGTGTGAATGTTCTTACATATATTTGTACGTGGGTGTCTCTTACCTAACTCAGCAGCTGATAGGTTTGCTTTTTGTTTTGTGTTTAGGTATTATTCTCAAGATATACTTTTTCTCTTTTCAGGCTTTGATTAGTGTTTTAGACTCATAACACGCATTTCTCTGGAGCTGATGTTCTCCTAACACTTTCAGCTTGGCTTAAAAAGCTACTTTGCTGGAATGTTTTAAAGGGTTAAAAACCCTCTAGGATTTGAAGTTAATTTAAATTAATTGAAGGAAATACTTCTGGCCTCACCAAAGAAATAACTGGAATCATGGATCAGAACAACAGCTTGCCACCCTACGCTCAAGGCTTAGCCTCCCCTCAGGTAAAAACAAATGATTTACTATGCAGCTGTGATCTGAATTTCCTTGTGAAAGTGTTTTCCGTTTCTTGCATGTAACTTCAGGTTTTTTGTTTGCAGATCTGAAAAATTCTGCTAGGTATAGAAAAGTACTAGTGTAAAGCAGAATTTTAAAACCATCAATTTGTATATCCAGCAGTATAAGAAACATGCAGATATATGGGATTCCTTTAAGTTGAAACATGACCGACAAGTGGGAAATGTTAATTTAATTTTGTTGATGGCCCTTTAAACTAACTTATGCGTAATGGACTGTAGCTGTGCTATGAATGCATTTGGTACGATGGGCACAGTCTTTGTTCAAACAATTGCAAGTAAATTGTGGGTCAAAGTTGAGACGTGCTTGCAAGGCAGTGTGAGAAGCGTATCAGCATCGCTAGCTGGAGATGAACAATGCTAGAACTGACAGATCCCTGGAGGTAATATTTTATTCTGTAGAAGAACTGCATTTCCAAGGGCTCTCTGGTTTTGGCGAGTTACTGCTGTATGCCTCAGGTTTGATGCGAT